GCCTTGGCCTTCTCAGGCTCAGGGGCCTTGGCCTTCTCAGGCTCAGGAGCTGGAGCTGGTGGGGCAGGGGCATTGGGGGGTGCCTTTGCAGGGCCTGGAGCTGCTGGTGTTGTTGTTGGTGCTGCTGGTGCTGGTGGACCTGCAGTCTGTGGTGCAGCTGATGTCCTTTGTGGCATCCCTGCCATTGGCTGGGGGGGAAGGTTCATCCTGTCAATGCAGAATTCCACCCACTCCCAGAAGTCTTGTGGAGCTCCACAAACAGTGGGTGGAACCCTCTGCTGCCAAGCGCTGTAAGCTCTGTTGGACAGGGCATGGAAAGTCTCTTGGCTTCCCTGGTACTGGGGCAGGCCTGCCATGTGTAGCATTGTAGAAGACAGGCTTGTGGACCAGTCTTGCCATGAGTCAGATGGCTGCCTGTAGTTGTACCACATGGTCCTCATCTGCTCCCTCCACTGCGCTTGTCCTTGGTCACAGGCTGTCCAGCCCAAACAAAACTGAAAGCAAACAAACTTGAAAGCTGTGGCTTGATGCAAGCTGGGGCTATCCAGCCCAAAAAACAAGCTGGTGCTGTGATAACATTTCCAAGTCAGGGTGCTGTGCCCTCCTGTGAGGAGGTCTGGGTGGAGCTCCAGTCCCTGGAACTGTGGGAGGAGCACCTTTTCCACCCTTTCCACCACCATCTTGCTGGCCACCCATGGCTGCAAGGAGCCTTTGCAGGCAGAGGTCTTGAGGGCAGAGTTCTTGAGGCCTTTCCAGGCTGCAGCATTGAACAGCTGTTTGCTGCATGGGCAACACAGGGGCCATCCAGCCCTCAAGCAAAACAGAACCTAGATCTAGCCAACTAGCCTATACAGTGAGTTGAAACCTTGCACAACTGGGGCTGTCCAGCCCTGATCTACCCAACTAGCCTACACAGTCAGTTGAAACCTGCACAACCCGGGCTGTCCAGCCCTTGTAAGCAAAGCAGAAACTAGACCTAGCCAAACCATTATTTTCAAGAAACCTATGTAAACCTTGCACTGGGGCTGTCCAGCCCTGAAGATAGTTAAGGTCAGCTGCAGCATGCATTTTTGCTCTCACCCCTGCAGGAATTTGCCCTTCATCTCCAGCACTTCTGCCAAAGGCTTGCCAGCCTCCAAGGCATCCAGGAGCTTTTGGGCTAAGGCCCTGTTACCTGCCAAGCCACTCCCTTGCTTCTTGATTTGCAGGACTTGCTTGCCATTTTTTATGCGAATTGCCACTGCTCCAGTGGCCTTGTAGGGCATGAGTTTGTACTCCACAGTGCCACTTGCTGGCTTCTTCTTGGTGGTCTGCACTTTTGTTGCCTTTGCAGGCTTGGTTTTTGCTTTGCAAGCAGCTGGCCTGGCCATTGTTTTTTCAAGGTTTGCTTTCTTGGAGGCACAGGAGAAGCAGCCTCAGCAGATTCAAGGCTTGCAGCAGCTGGAGAATCCTGTGTCTTTGGCAGTTCCATGTCCAAAATTGCAGCCAAGCCTGCAGGCTTCTCTTCATCTTTTGTCTTTTGGGGTGTGCTGCATTTCTCCTTTGGGTCTGCCTTCACAGGCAAGGATGGAATCTCATCTTGCTGCTGTGCAATGTCCCTCAGCTCTTTCAGCTTGGCAATGTGGTAGCCATGTAAATTCTTGGTGGCTTCCTTGAACCTGGTCTCAGTGAGCAGCCTCCTGCAGTGGGTCATGATGGTCATGATGGACTCACTGTATTGTCCTGGGAGAGCTGCATGCTGCTCAGCTGGCCAGCTGTGCTTCAAGCCAGGGAACTTGAGCATGAGGTCGGCGAAGGCCTGCTTCAGGTCTGAGTACTTGAACATGAGGCTGGGGCACACCTGCGAGAGCTTTTGCACCAATGGCAACTGCCCTGCCAAATCAACTCCTTGAATGGCTTGTTGTTTGGTGAGGTTGTGGTAGGACTGGAAGTTGAAGGCCTGGTCCACACCTTCCTTTCTGACCATGTCCACCAGCACATCGACCAAGTGCTGCATGTCAATCTCCTCACTCTTCATTCTCCTTGGCCCTCCCTTGCAGGACATGGCTGGCTATCCAGTCAAAACTGAAGGAGCTGGCTATCCAGTCAAAAGAGCTGCAATCATTAAGACAGCATCTGGGGCTCTCCAGCCCTAAAGCACAGCTGGGGCTATCCAGCCCAATGTTAAACCCTGCTAGTGCATTACCTGGGACTCTCCAGCCCTGCAAGCACATGTATGCTGTAAATATGTATGTATGTGTATGTATGTGTGTGTGTGTATGTATGTATGTATGTATGTATGTATGTATGTATGTATGTAGATTTGCACACTTATGTGGTTCCAAATAGGCTCTAAAAATTCAATCGCAAAGCCTTTGAAAATTCAATCGCAAATTTTCCAAAATTCAATAACAAAACCTCTAAAATCTGTTCCTAAATTTCAATCGCATCCATGTTCCTGGAATCAAGGTTTTCTATTGAATTTTAGTTTGAAAATCAAATTTCAATCGCAGATTGAAATTGCAAAATTTTCAATAGTGAGATTGAAATTTTTCAATCTTGGAGCCTTTGGGGAGCTGTCTGATGATGGCGAACCAGCCCCAAAGATTACGCCTGGCAAGACACCGTGCCCCAAAGCCAAACCAACTCCCAAAGTGAAATCTGGTGGAAAGAAACCGGATGCCAAACCCAAACCTAAAGCAGCGCCATCAAAGCCAAAAGCAGCAGCAGGTGCCAAGACTAAGGGCCTTCGTAAAAGGCCCGCTGCCAATGACCCGCCGACTGACACCGCGACCCCAACGCAACAAGAACACGAAGAACCCGATGAATCTGAACCCCCTGTGCTAAAGAAACCTGCGACTCAAGAGAAAAAAAGGTGACCGTGACCAAGTACATGTACCACAAGGAGGGCAAGTGGGGCGTGAAATACAACAAGAACGAAGTGGTCACGGCCGGGTTGTGTTTGCGCTGTTTGCCGTGTTTTGGTGAGTTTGCAAAGGTTAGAATCAGACACTTTGTTTATATAACGGTCTTTTTGTTTGGTGGGAGGTGAAGCCCCATCCAGCCATTCCGGACCACAAATTGGAAGAAGTTGCTGATGAGAGCTTAATACTTGTATGTTTTTTGTACGAGGATGTCAAGTCTGCAGTTAATGTGACATTCACTTGGGCACTTGACTTGACATCAAGTTAAGATTAATGTTCGTATCTCAGGAAGCAGTTCGCGTCGAATGCGAGAACTGCTCTGAGTTCCCAGACAAAGCAAGGATTCGTGATTTGGTAGCCTGATTCTTAAATCAAGTTAGTTGGCGGTAAGTTGAATCATTGTGTTTTAGTTGCTTCTATTGGACCGACTGTCTGAGGCCACAATGCGTCAGGCATTGATTGACAAGGCTGCGGAGCAGCAACCAGAACACACGACTCCAGCCGAAGTCGGCGAAGCCGATGATACCGGCAAGGAGGGGGAAGAGGAAGAACCTCTGGAAGAAGACCTTAATGTCGACTGACACTGAACTGCCCTGGAGCTTGTCCCGGAGTGAAGAAAAAGGTAGCTGGTTGGGATGGAGGCTGATTTTACGTTTTGCACTTGAACCAAAAGTTTATCAGTTTATCGTGATTATAAGACACGGCGGCGGCTTGTAAAATACTACTGTCAAATTTTCACTTAAAAAAAGGCTCAAGCGTTGCTCGTGGTAACCTGGCGGGCCCAATGTGAAACAAAATTTGCCCATAAAACCCCCTGCACTCCTTTGCGCAAAATGTCCAAAGGCCCCAAATCGATGGCTGGAAATCGCGCCCGGGATCCCAGGGACCTAGGGACACTTTCTCTCTGGAGCTCAAAGGGGGTTAAACCTTATCCTTGCTCCCCTACCATGCGATGGGGATGGTAGTCCGGAGCTGAGGCCATGGGATGGTAGTCGACACCATGTTAAGTCCAGACCCCTGGTTGCAAGCCAGACCCCCGATTAGCAGGAAAAAGACTTCTTGACGATCACCATACACCGCCAGCAACAACAGCTTCGCCACCTATGGAGGTCATCGCTGAGGATGATCCATCTGAAGCAGCTGAGCGTGAAGCAAAGCGGTTGCGGATTGGGTCTAGAGAAGCTTCCTCCTGTACATCAGAAGGTTTGTTTGCATTTATGGCCATTGAAACACCTGATTTTTGATACAACAAGCTTCAAATCAGTTCCAAAGACATGCAGCTTTTTACAATACAAAGAACGTTTCCGCAAAGCAATTCTTGTTTGGGGTGAAGCGCAACGACTTTCACCACGCCTACAAACAGCTTTGTGAGTCTGCCCTGGAAAGCAGTCTGGCGCCGGTTCCGGGAGGAGCTAAGAAGGGGCGGAAGGAACTTCGTTTGTCAGAGCTCACCAAGGAGCTACAGCTGCAGTTCACGGGTCCTGATGGTTCCGACAGTCGGGAATGGGAAGCTTGGCAGTCCAAAGAGGCCTGTGATGTTTTGAGCCTGGCTGACAGCCGCAGAGTTCAAGAGGAGAAGCCTGATCTGATCATTCCTACAAGATGGGTCAGAACAAACAAGAATGAAGGTTTGCAAGGAGAACCTTTTAAGGCCAAGAGCAGATTGGTTGTACAAGGTTTCAAGGACAAGTCATTGGGCGAGTACCGCCGGGATGCCCCAACAGCATCGGCTATGGCGGAAAGCATTTGCCTGGCAGTGTGTGCCTACCTTGGTTTTGTTTTGATAGCCAAGGATGTGAAGAACGCGTATTTTTCTGGCAAGAGCATTGGCAGAGAGCTTTACTTGGCACAGCCACGTGGAGGTTTGCCGGGATTGCGTCCACAGCAGCTTTTGCTCGCCAAGAAGGCGATATACGGTTTTTCAGAGGCTGCACGTTTGTTTTGGCTTGCTTTAAGGGAGCATTTGGTTTCAGATGTTTGGGAAGAAAGCCGTTTAGAGCCTGCTCTCTTTTACCTCCGCCAGGAGGGCAAGTTGTGTTGCATTTTGGTGACGCGTGTTGACGACATTGAAGGAGGTCTTGCTCCTTCTCACCTGTCCAAGGGCTTTGAACGAAGCAGTCAGTCCCTGGAGTTTGCCACAGATAGCGTGAGAAAGTTCTTTTTTCGGGGCCGAGAAGTTGAGCAGCATGAATCGGGCCATGTGGACATTTCTATGCGTAACTACGCATTGTCCATGAAGCAGGTCAAGATAGATCCACAAAGGAAGAAGCAGTTGGAATCAGATTTGACCACCGCCGAATCCGAAATGATGAATAGCATTGCTGGAGAGCTCGGTTGGTTGAGTCGACAACTACGTTGTGACCTGGCTTATGAGAATGGTGTGATTCAGCGTTGCAAGTCGGAAGCATGCATTGCAGATTTGTTGAAGCTCAAACAATACATTGGCATGGCACGTCGTGGAGCGGATTTTCGCCAGAGGTTCTGGGCAGATGTCAATCTGCGAGAGGCTGTGATCATAATGTTGGCTGATTCAGGTCATGCAAATGGCACCCCTGAGAGGAACGAGAAGGTCCGCTACAGGTCAGTTGGAGGATACTTCATCCTAGCTGCGAATCCTGGAATACTGGAAGGGAAAGAAGTTCGATGCAACATTCTTGCATACCATTCCACCCAGACGAAACGAGTCTGCAGGTCGACACTGGCTGCCGAGGCCAGCCATTTGGCTGAAGCAGTGGAGGCTGGAGATTGGTGCATTGTGTTGCTTGAGGAGGCCCTTTCAGGAAAGGTTGATTTGCAGAGCTGGACCAAAGTTGTTGAAGCCCGCCAGAGGGCATATGTTACAGATGCCAAGTCGGTCTTCGACTACTTGCAGCGTGACGCAACAAGTACATCCACTGACAAGAGGATGGCTATTGAGGGGGCTTTGCTACGGGAAACCGTTAGACAGCCTGGACCTCATGTGAAATGGATTGATGGTGAACAGAATTTTGCAAATGTTTTGACGAAGGCCAATACTGACAAGACAGTTCTGAGAGAATTTCTTCGAACAGGAATGTTCACTTTGAAGCAATCCATGTCCAACCAGAAGGCCAAAGAGTTGAAGCAGCACCAACGGCAGAAGCGCAATGAAGTCAAGCGCTCAGATGGTGATGTTTTGAAAGAACAGCTGCGGAAAGAAAGGAAGGCTAAAGTTTCAGCTGAAGTCCTTCAAGAAGCATCTTCAGCCGAAGAAAAAGTACCGGTGTGAAGATGTCCCAGCATGCAGTGGTTTGCAGTTGATTTGTCGCCGCCTCACATTTACAAGCGCCGGTCCGACAAGAAGCGGCCATGTCGATGAACACAAGACAGATGCCCCGAGACTAGTCCGGCCCGTGGTTGCAACGGATGATGCATAAGATATCCACAGAAGCCAAGAGCGCATGTTTGAATGGTTTCACATATACTTCGTGTCTGTGTGTCACGGAAAAGAGCTGCGCGACTTCGCAACATATATATATATATGTATATATACATAGTGAGCGAAGACGTTGCTGCGCAATCACCGCAGGGGCACAGTTGCAGCATTGTTCTGCAGTTCCTGTGATCCAGGTCTAAAGAGCCAATCTCTGCCATCCTGCAGTGGTAGCTAGACTCGACCACATTAATTGCTGCTGATCTCCCAAAGTTGCCAGAGCACCTTGCCCAAAAAGTTGTGGCCTAAACCGAACATGCAAACCGTATGCTATGCTATGGTCTTGTATACGATGCAAGGCCATAGTGCAAACATTATGGATGGAAGGACAATTGAACAATAACTATACGTTCTCAAGTCTCAACACCTGAAAAAGTAGGCCGCAAGCGTGGAGTGCACTGATGAACGGATACGATGGACGATTTTGGTTTGGCCAAGACAAAATACGGTGTTTACTCTGTCAAAAGCACCTAGAAGAAGAAACTCTAATGCCCACTGGCAGGCAGTTACCCTAGTCTCTATTTCGCTTGTTTCAGGCAACCACAGCGAATGGAACCTTGTCTTGTTGACGTTTCTCTGCAGGATTAAGCCACCGCTCAAAAGTGAACCAAGATGAAATAGTACCCTCTTGTGTCAGCCATACAAATTTCAGGTCGAGTCAAACTCAGCCGGGAGTTGCGTATCAAGCAAGTTAAGCTAACCACGATCAAATCCCACACAGAGGTGGCATGTGCCCAACTCTTGCGCGAAATAGAGGTTGACCAACTGCGAAAAAAACAGGTGTGCATATGCATTCCTACTGCTCTCAGCTCACATGGCTTAGGGCTGAATCAAAATGAGGTGGTGGCGGACAGAGATGAAGATCAAATGAGACAGAATGAAGCGCAGAAGGGAATGACATTCACATGAGGCTCAGTGCTGGCGAAGAACCACAAGGACAAAGCCCCATGCAAAAGGAAGGGGAACGCCCACCCCAAACACACTGTTAAGCAGCCACGGGGCTCTTCGTTTGAGCTGTATGCGCGCGTGTATATCCAAAAATTATACATCTATAATTGTATAACAATATACTGTATACACATATATATATATGTTGTTCTTAATTTACCGAAATCTCGCATGTTATACACTATGATCATATATTATTAAATCATGAATTTTTTTATGGAATTGAATCCTTTTCTTGCTGTTGTCAGTTTCTTTTTGCTTTAACCGTACTCGAATGTCGTTTAACTTTGACTTCACCAGAATCAAGAAGAAGAAAGGATAAGGAAGAAGGAGGACGGAAAAAGGAAGAAGGAAGAAGGAAGAAGGAAGAAGGAAGAAGAAAGAAGGAAGAAGAAAGAAGGAAGAAGGAAGAAGGAAGAAGGAAGAAGGAAGTAGAAGAAAGAAGAAAGAAGAAGGAAGAAGGAAGAAGGAAGAAGGAAGAGGAAGGAAGAAGGAAGAAGGAAGAAGAAGGAAGAAGAAGGAAGAAGGAAGAAGGAAGAAGCAAGAAGCAAGAAGCAGGAGGAAGAAGGAAGAAAAAGGAAGAATAAGGAAGAAGAAGGAAGAAGAAGGAAGAAGGAGGAAGAAGGGAGAAGAAGGGAGAAGAAGGAAGGAAGAAGGAAGAAGAAGGAAGAAGAAGGAAGAGGAAGGAAAAG